CAGTGCCCACCTGCCGGGCGGCGGCGGACGGGCTTACCTGCACTTGGGGCTGCTTTGGGTGACTTTCCAAGTCAAGGGAAATGTGTGTGTGTTTGGGATGGAGGCTGCAGCGCGCATGCGCCATCAAACTTGCCCTGATCCCGGATTTTTCCTCCTCGCGCTCCCCTTTGCTTTGATTATTGAATTTTCCTATTTCTAACAGGAGGGCAGGCGGCGCGCAAAACCCGGACTGGAGCGGAGCCACCCTCTGCCCTCGGCCTGGCTGGGGAGGGGAAGGGGGGAGCGGCGGAGAGGGAAGCGGGCATGGAACGGACTCGGTCTCCAAGCAGGCACGGCGTCCAGGCAAGGGAGGGGCACCCGCAAAACCCGGACCGGATCGCCCTGCCCCGGCAAGGGAGAAAAGTGTCCCCATTTCCCAGCCACCGTTGGGGGGCAACTTCCTATTTCCAGGCCTGCCTCTGGGCCAGGCTCTCTCTCTGCCCCACCTGCCCTCCTTCCCAGCAGGGCGTTGGAAGTTTTATAAAATTGTCTAGTTTGCAACCTGGTGACCTCCGCTCACCTTCGTTTCCTAAGATTAAACTAAATAGAGATTGTGAATAACTATCTTGCACTTATTTCTTTATTCTCCAGCTGATTTCCTTACGTGTAGTGTTTAGTTTCCATTTTACAAACTTATAAACCTGGCTACTTTTTTTGCTTATAATCTTACTCTGCATTTCACTCAAGTTTAGAACTAACTACTCTCTCACTGCATGTACAACTACAATGGTTTTATAATACATAGTTATCGTTTTATAATATTTTATGGTTTGTCAGCTTATAGTACTTCCTCTGCTAGCATTTATGCACAGGACTACCTTTTGCAGGTCTGGATCCCACAGAACTTCAGGGGACAGACAAGCAAGCCAGCCTCAGGGCGGGTGGTGTGGGGGGCCCTCCCGGCGGGAGCGGAGCCAAGGTTCCCCCCCTGTTCCCACGCATCTGAATTTCTAACAGTCAGGCATCAGATTTATGCGTTAAGAAACTACTTTTTTCTTCAGCTCTATCTTTTCTTTTGGAGCTTTATCATCCTACTAAGCCACTTGGTATAGGTATTACAATTCGGTGTGCGTTTTCTGTGGCCTTGGCTCAGCCGAGCAGTCCACGCGAGACCCTTTCGTCACGCGGCTGCCTCCGCAGGGACTAAGAGCCCCGGCTCACCTGCACCCGCGCACCCTGCTTATGGGCTCCGAGTCCCGCCTGCAGCCTTGCCGGCGCCTGAGCTACGCTGCTGGGAGTGCATGCAGGTGAATGCCTCTGCCTCCCTAACACGGCTTGCAGGATTTGGGCCCTAGGCCCAAGCTATGCAAGCCTGTAAACTCTTGAATAACTTTACTCATTCGGAGCAGGGAGTTGTGCGTCAGCACACCCACACAGCACCCCTTGCAGGAGCGTCTCGCCGTTTCCTTGCGCTTCCCTGTCTGCCTCTGTCTCCACCTGTTGTCTCTTGTCCGGTGCTTAAACTGTAAGGTCTTTGGGGCAGAAACCAGGGTTTTGTTCTGTATTTGCAAGTCTTGCCCAGTGGGGCCCTGCTCCATGACCGCAGCTTCTACGTGCTATTGCCACACAAATAAATAATAATAATAATTAATAATAATAGAGTAATTCCTCTGATTTCAATGTGACTACTCATGTGAGTAAAAGTGACTCATGTACATGAGTGTTTGCAGGACTGCTGCCAACTCTTGAGCTTTTATTGTGAGTCTTCTAATATTTGGTGTTCTTCTTTGATCCCCAACTCCTGGAATTACATGTTTTGAGCACTTGTGTTTACACAAGAAAGCTTGGAAACGCGGCCTAGTGTTTCCAAAAGCCTCAGAAGCCAGAGGACAAGTAAAAAACTTACGACGACATTGGTTTTCAATATCTTCGGAGAAAATCCCATAGTTTGGCAGCTGGCGGGGGGGCCTGACTCATGAATTTTGAAGAGACAAGTTCAGCAATGTACGTCTATTTAGTTAAATGCTTAGGTCTCGTAAAGAGTGGACTTTTACTAACCAGGCTGAATTTATAGTGAAGAGACATATTTCCGTGGAAACCCTTAGAGTATTTAAAGTGTCTGTGTCTTTGCAGAATCTGGGCTTTTGTTTATTTGAATATTGTTTGGTATTTGTCATTCTGCAGTTATTTATTTTCACCTGCTCACAATAGGAAAGCAGTAAATGGAGATGAAAATGGGATAATTGAAGTAAATAGAACCGTGTGAGATTGTTAGAGTAACTGTGGCAAGTATTTATAAATTGCTGAAAGTAAAAAGACCAAACTTCTTGAATTCATAAGCTGGAGAGACACTGTCAGGTTAAAAACCATGTGTTTCTAAAAGTAAATGTCCCAGCCTCTGGTATAAAAGTAAAAAAGAGCAGTTTCCAAGCTATGGATTCTTTTGCTTAGGAGGCATTCCTTAAGAATGAAGCGTTGGGAGAACAGCGTTGGGAAAATTGAATCTGTATTTTTAATTGCATTTACTTCTTCTTATTTCCTTCTTGTTCACTTTTTTGCATTTCTCTCATTTGGCTGCTGAATACAGTCTGAATGGTCTTCCTTTTACCTGGAAGTTGGCTAATTTTGGAGTGCTGTGGGGCTGATGCAGTTAGGAGGGGAACTCGATGACAGGCAAGCGTTTCGAGGCGGTCTTGCTTGCTGCCGAAGCGCGCTCAGGCCTGCCTTCCCCCTGCACGTGGCAGGAGTCAGATAACCTTAGAAACTATCTCTGACAACAGCTTCGAGCCTCCTTCCAAGCCACGCTTTGCCCAAAAGCTCCCTCCGCACTTGCTTTAGAGCCCCACTCTTCATGCTTATTCATCCTGCCCCCTTTGACTACTTTGTCCCTGCTTTCTGAAGTTTGCTTGCACAAAACCCACCATTCAGCCATCGTCAGCTGTTTGCCATATTAGGTCCCAGTAAAGGCCCCCGGACGCATGGCTCCTAAACCAGCCAGAACAGAAAGTAATGACACCTTACACAGCCTGTTCTAGATAGAAATAAAATAATTGAGCAAATTGCAAATGATGCATGCTTAACTATTTATGCAGCGTCTTCCTGTCATCAACCTAAAGCAATTTTACTTCCGTGTTGAACACTGGATGAAAATGTTCTATAGATTTAACCATTGCAGGAGTTCCTTTTAAGTGGTGCAGTAATCTCTCTCGAGCTAATTTAGTGTTGTAAGAAGGCACCACCCCCACAAGTCCTTTGTGTTCTTGTGTCAATACTGCCCCCAAACCATAAGCGCTGGCATCTGCATCCATCATAAAAGTGGGTCTGAAACACAGAAAGATTAAGAACGGAGCAGCATGGCCATTGGTGAAGCAATCCCAAGAGGATTTTTCCAATTCTGGACGCATCAAATTTCATTCTGATGACCACCAAAATATTGTTTTCTTTCTCCCCGAATCTATGCAATGGTTTAAAAGTGCTGGCAAATTCAATAATAAATCTTCTCTACAGAAGCAGAGTCTGACAAAACTTTGCTCGTCTGTGAGCACCTGGGGAGCAGCCAGTACAGAGTCAGTTTTCTTCTTGCCAATGGAGGCTCCTTGCCCTCTGCTCAGGATCTATTTTGAACTCGATCACCCTTGTCTCTTTGGAAGAACTTCTTAGTTCTAACCAAATTGTCTCTCATTTTTGCTTTTTTGTTTTTTAAGTATGCGACATGACAGTGGAAAAAAATCCCAAAAGAAAGTTGGACATCACCATCATTCCCTTTTGCCTTACAGTTTTCTTCACCAGCGTTTGCTGTTGCCAGTGGGACTTGATACAGTTTTGGTTCCTATTTTTGCTGTTTGCTGCTTGTCCGAACGTTTAACAAGCCAACAGGGATGCACTCCTAGTTCAGGTGCACAAGCGCATGGGCAGCTCAGGTTCCACATGTCCCTCCATCTCCAAACAGGTTTTACATATTCCCAGTCTTTCTTTAGCTCCCGCAGCATGTAGCTGTAAGAGTGGTTGCTGCCCTTGGGGAGAGGATATCCTGCTCGCTGCAAGCTTACTGCCCATAAGACGTTTGCTGTATCGAACTACATAGTTCAAATAAATTTCCAAGGACTGAAACCGTAAGCCACCTTTCCTGCTCTTTATCATTCAGCAATTAGCAATGATAACATCCCAACTCATTATTAGATTGTCCTCTAAGTCAGTTGTCCAAAACTCTTGGTTAAATCCAGAAATTTCTCTCTCAAACCCAACTTTCGGAACGTTTTCCCCTTCTGCTGGGGGTCCTCATATTTCCAAACTGGGGTAGCGTGCCTGCAGCTTGCGTAAACATACCACAGTTGTCTACGGGGTGCAAGGACACAGAGAGCAAATATCTGTCATGTTCCCTCATGCACCGCTGGAAAGTGGTCAGATACGAGCATGATGAGGCAGTACAAGCCGTAGAGAACCCAAGTGAGGAGACTGTTTTGACTGAAGGACAGAAGAACTTCTGTTGGTGGAGCACGTAGACTAGGCCTTTCTTGTAGACTAGACGTGAATGTTTTTTATTCACACCCAGCACATATCCCAGAACACACTCCCATCTAGCTAAGCTGTGAATGTGCAGCCTGAGAAAACTTTACTTACCCTTAAAAAATTACTCACACAAGAAAAATGATGTTAAAACAACATGAGAAGGGCCGGGATTAAAATGACAAAAGCACTGAAATTCAAGCTGAAGGCTCTAACTCTGTCCTCAGCTCACCCTGATGTGCCCTGGCTACTGCTTTCTTTAGAGGGAAAAACGGAGGCCTGCAAGGGGGGTTCCTGTTGCTCTAGCGTGCGTGGCAACAGAGAATCAGGCCAAGAGGCCTCATTCGTGCCTGCTCACACCGGATGGCACGCTTTACATCAGCGCACACCACGTTAATTCCTGAACTGGGAACTGAGTGGGAGGCTGGGGTGGAGGCTGAGCACACTACCAAACTCGACTGAAACAGCCATCCGTTTCACAGAGGCTATACCCAACAGCCACCAGACGTCCTAACTTTGCCAAACCTAGCAGAGGCCGAGGTGCAACCCACGACCTCTCATCCTGCTTCACAGCTCGCTGGAGGAATGAAGACATGCACTCAGACATGCACTAGA